CAGATTAATAGAAGCAGAAATAAAATAATAAAATAATCCTATTTTAGAAAAAAGAAATTGAACAAACCATCAATGAATTCTCTAAGAAAAATATCTCTAGGGCCAGATGGATTTATAAGTGAATGCTACTAAACATCTAAAGAAAAATTAATTCCAATACTATATAAACAATTTGGAAAAATAGGCAAAGAAGGGGATCTACCAAATTCCTTTGATGGCATAAATATAGTGCAGATCTCTAAAGTGGGAAGAGCCAAAACAGAGAAAGAAAATTATAGACCAATTTCCCTAATGAATATTGATGCAAAAATTTTAGATAAAATGTTAGCAAAGAGATTATAAAAATTTATCACGAGGATAATACACTATGACCAGATGGGATTATACCAGGAATACAGGGCTGGTTTAATATTAGGAAACCTATTAGAATAATTGACCATATCAATAACAAAACCAACAGAAATCATATGATTATATCAATAGATGCAGAAGAATCCTTGGATGAATTACAGCACACGTTCCTATTAAAAACACTAGAGAGTATAGGAATAAATGGAGCTTTCCTTAAAATGATAGGTAATATGTATCTAAAACCATCAGCAAGCATTATCTATAATGAGGATAAACTAGAAGCCCTCCCAATAAGATCAGCAGTGAGACAAGGATGCCCATTATCACCACTGTTATTCAATATTGTACTAGAAATGTTAGCTTTTGCAATAAGAGAAGAAAAAAATTGAAAGAATTAGACTAGGCAACGAAGAAACAAAATTATCACTCTTTGCAGATGATACGATGGTACACTTAGACTAAAAAAACTACTTGAAATAATTAACAACTTTAGCAAAGTTGCAGGACATAAAATAAACTCACAAAAAATCATCAGAATTTCTATATATTACCAACAAAGCCTGCTGTAAGAGTTTGAAAGAGAAATTCCATTTAAAATAACTGTAGACAATATAAAATACCTGAGAATCTACTTGCCAAGACAAACTCAGGAAGTATATGAACACAGTTACAAAACATTTTCCACACAAATAAAGTCAGATCTAAACAATTGGAAAAATATCAACTGTTCATGGGAAGGCCAACCTAATGTAATAAAAATGACAATTCTACCCAAATTAATTTACATATTTAGTGCCTTGCCAATTAAACTACCAAAAATTATTTTATAGAGCTAGAAAAAATACTAACAAAATCCATCTGGAAGAACAAAAGGTCAAGAATATTAAGGGACTTAATGAAAAAAAAATGTAAAGGAAGGTGGCCTAACTCACCAGATCTAAAACTACATTATAAAGCAGAAATCATCATAAGTATTTGGTACTGGCTAAGAAATAGAATGGTGGTGGATCAGTGGAATAGATTAGGTACACAAGACACAGTAGTAAATGGTTATAGTAATCTACTGTTTGATAAATCCAAAGACTCCAGCCTCTGGGATAAGAACTCACTATTTGACAAAAACTGCTAGGAAAACTGGAAACCTAGCATGCCAGAAACTAGGCATAGACCAACATCTCACACCATACACCAAGATAAGGTCAAAATGAGTACATGATTTAGACATAAAGGGTGATACCATAAGCAAATTAGGAGAGCAAGAAATAGCTTACCAGTCTGATCTATGGAAAAGGGAAGACTTTCTGACCAAACAAGGTTAGAGAACACTATGAAATGCAAAATAGATAATTTTGGTTACATTAAATTATAAAGTTTTTGTGTGAACAAAACCAATGCAACCAAGATTAGAAGGAAAGCAGAAAGCTGGGAAACCATTTTTACAGCAAAGGTTTCTGATAAAGATCTCATTTCTCAAATATATAGAGAACTGAGTCAAATTTATAAGAATACAAGTCATTTCCCAATTGATAAATGGTCAAAGGATATGAATAGGCAGTTGTCAGATGAAAAAAAGAAAGCCATCTATAGTCCTATGAAAAAATGCTCTAAATCACTATTGATTAGAGAAATGCAATTTAAAACAACTCTGAGGTACCACCGCACACCTATCAGATTGGCCAATACGATAGAAAAGGAAAATGATGTTGGAGAGGATGTGGGAAAACTGGGACATTAATGCAATGTTGATGGAGTTGTGAACTGACCCAATCATTCTGGAGTACAATTTGGAACTATGCAATCAACCCATGCATATCCTTTGATACAGCAATACCACTACTAGGTCTGTATCCCAAAGAGATCATAAAAAATGGAAAAGGACCTATATGTACAAAAATATGTATAGCAGCTCTTTTTGTGGTGGCAAAGAATTGGAAATTGAGGGAATGCTCATCAATTGGGGAATGGCTGAATAAGTTGTGGCATATGATGTAATGGAATACTATTGTGCTACAAGAAATGATGAGCAGGCAGACTTCAGAAAAACCTGGAAAGATTTATGTGAGCTGATGCTGAGTGAAGTGAGTATAACCAGAAGAGTATTGTGCACAATAACAGCAACATTGTGTAATGATTAATTATGATAGACTTAGCTCTTCTCAGCAAGGACAATTCCAAAAGACTCATGATAGAAAATGCTATCCACATTCAGAGAAAGAACTATGGAGGCTGAATGCAGATCAAGACATACTATTTTCGCTTTTTTGTGTGTGGCTTTTCCCTTTTGTTCTGTTTCATCTTTCATGACATGACTAATGTGGAAATATGTTTACCTGACTGCACATATAAAACCTATAAGGGATTGCTTGTGATTTTAGGCAGGGAGAAAAAATTTGAAACTCAAAATCTTATAAAAAAAAATGAATGTTAAAAACTATCTTCACATGTAATTAGAAAAAATAAAACACTATTTACAAAAAACAAAAAAACCAAACCCTATCCTAGATGGTTTTAGAGGTGAAATTTTTCAAACCTTACTAGAACATATAACCCCTTTGCATAGATTATTTATAAAAAGAGGGTGATGCAGATTGATTACATAAAAAAAAGATAACTAGGAAAAGTAGAGGGGAAACATGGAGATAGACTCAGCTAGAACAACTGCTGAATAATCCTGAGTGCAATTCCCAAAACATGGAATTCTACTCGTGTCTTATATTTAGCTTTATCTAACCTACTCATTGCTGTTGTCTTCAAAAGTACTTGAGATTTCAGTTCAGTTGTTTTCTAGTCATGTTTAACTTTTTATGATCCCATTTGGGGTTTTCTTAGCAAAGATACTGGAGTGGTTCACCATTCCCTTCTCCAGCCGATTTTACAGATGAGGAAACGGAGGCAAACAAAAGTCACAGAAGTGACTTGCCCAGGGTCACACAGCTAATAAGTGTCTGAGGCTATATTTGAACTCAGGAAGATGAGTCTTCCTGACTTGTGGCCCAACACTCTACCTATTCTGCCACCTAGCTGCCCCCATACTTCAGACTGGCTTACCCTAAGTGGTACATATTAAAGAGAATTCAGCTCCCTTAATCAATCTCAGTTGAAAATCATGGGTCAGCCGTCTTCCTTGGTAGCAATTAAGTGTGTAGGTTCATTTCCCCGAAACTGACAAAGATGGGGGACCTAGCAGGTAGAAGGGAGGTAGAATGCATTACTCATTTTACCTTTTCTCAACAAGTATGTATGCTACTGATTTGGGTGTTCTCACTAAACCCTGTGGTTAGAACCACTGAGCATAACACTCTCTCTTTGAAATTCTGGACTAGGTTAGTGTCTGGAAAAAAATGGAATGCTACATACAATCTCTGATGAGGGAAATATGGTGTTCTCCTAAAACTTGGCAAAGAGAACACTGATAAAGAAAATTATAGATCAATTTCCCTAATGAACATAGATGCAAAATACTAAATAGTACCTAGCAAACACAGCAACCTATTAAAAGATATCATTATAACCAAGTAGAATTTGTACCAGGTATGGAAGTCTGGCTCAACAGCAGGAAAATTATCAACATAAAAACAAAATTATATTGATCATTACAGAAAAAAGCCTTGGATAAAAATCCAATGCCTATTACTGACAAAAAACCTAAAAATGATAGTAATGGAGAGATTTTTCCTCAACTCAATAAAAAGAAATCTGTCTTAAGTTAACAGCTAATACTATGTACAATGGAGAAATATTAGAAGTATTCTCATTAAAAACAGGTACCAAATAAGGGTGCTTGCTTCTACCATTTTCATTGACATAGTATTGAAATTGCTGCTCATTATAATTAGATGGGAAAAAGACATTGGAAGGCAATAGCGGAAATGATGAGGTCAAATTTTCATTATTTGCAGATGATATGATGGTACATATATAAAATACAACTCAATCAACCAAAAATGAACTGAAACAAATAAATTTAATAAGGTTATCTATACACGATTTACCTACATAATTTTGTGTGACATAAAATAACAATACAGATCAAGAAAACACAGTTCAAAAAACCCACCTGACTTACAATGTTTTCTTATCAGTTATAACCTAAATACTTCCTCAGTTACAAAGAAAGCATTATCAGTCTCCCTTCTTCTTCAAGGTCAGTGTGGTGTCTTCAAAATAATGTTAGATTTAAACACAGACAACATGAGCAACTTGGTATTTTGTGGGAATGCTTCTAATTTTTTTATTACATATTATTTTGGCTCTTGTCTAAAAGTAGGTTTCCCCCCCCCCCCCACTTAATAGTATTTTATTTTTTCCAATTACATGTAAAAGTAGATTCTTTCAATTGTATCAAGAATGACTACATCTTTAACATGAATGAAAGTTGGATTTTTATCATATACTTTTCCTACATCTATTAATTTTTTTTTTCTTTTGCTAAAGAGAAAGCACTCCTGGCTCTGCTACTCACAACCTGTGTCACCTGGCACAAATTGCTTAACCTCTCTAGTCCTCAGTTTCTTCATTTGTAAAAATAAGAGTTTTGGACCAGATGGTCTCAAAAGTCCAGCCTAGCCACTGATCCTCCTATACAGCAAAGCCTGAGCCAGACAGACTTATTCCACATACCCACACCATTCTTATGAAAAACTACTCACCTTCCAAAGCGGGCACTGTTAATTTCCAGTCAGTGATACAACTGCAGGAGTGATGTATCATCATTATATATATGTGAGTATATGCATATCGACACCCACGGACAGCTGCGTCACATCAAACAGATAAAAATAAAGTCATTTCCTATTCTTTTTTCCTAAACAACAGAAATTAAGCTTAAAGGTCTGAGCTGAGTCTGTAAGCTTGTTTTTCAAGATTCTTTTAGACTTTAAAATCCTCTGAATTATGAATTTTTACATGAGTGATGAACAGTATGCTTCACTTACCATGGAAATCAATGATTTGATTGTTTTCAATAAACTCTGTAAGACTGAATGTGAAACCGTTTGCTAAAATATCCTTATTACTATGAACCTGAGAGGAGAAAAGAAACTTATTACAGATATTGAGAATTTTTTTTAACAGTAGGAGAGTCAGTTCAATAATGATGCTATTCTTAGGGTGTTTGCTGTCATTCTCATAACACATGTCTGTGTTATACTACCAGGGAAATTGCTGTACAGATAAGGATAAAAAATAATACTCTTCAAGGCTAGTATAGTTTACATGTAGTTCAGACAAACAAGCCAGTACAAAGCCCAGCCAGATCTTCCCTACAACAGTTGAGTCATGAAATAAGAGAGCTCCTCCCTCAAGATCTGTGGAGCAATCCTGGGGCCCAAATTCTTGGAGCTTTAATAAGACAAAAGAGGAAAAGGTCCCATGTGTACAAAAATATTTATAGCAGCTCTTTTTGTGGTGGCAAAGAATTAGAAATTAAGGGAGTGCCCATGAACGAGGGAATGGATATACAAAATTCTGGTATATGTAACAGGATACTATTGTGTTGTAAGAAATTAAACGAAGGATACAGTTTCAGAGAAACTTGGAAAGATTTATATGAACTCATGTGGAGTAACATGAAGAGATCCTGTAGGACAATTTATATGATAATAGAAATATTATAAAAATGAAGAACTTTGAAGAGTGATGGCAGTGTCAGAGGAGAGAAGGGGATGTGCTCAAGAGATGTTTCCAAGGTAAAATGGACAGGCTTTGGCGACATATTGGATATGGCAGGGAGGAGGGAGGGAGTCGGGGTCGTGAGAAAGAGGGAGGAGTTGAGGATGACACCTAGATTGCAAGGCTAGGGCACTGAGAGGATAGGGAGCCCTGGAGAGCAAGAGGGAAATTTGGCAGGAGGAAGGGTTTGGGGTTCAGTTTGGGATTTATTGAGTTTAAGACATCTACAGGACATTCAATTCCAAATGTCTAATAGATAGTTAGACATGGATTCAATATGCAGAATGAGGCATATAGTTTTGGACGTGTCTTGCTTGACTATGTGTATTTGTTAGAAGGGTTTTGTTTTTCCTTTTCTTTTTTTCCCTGAGGGATGGGAGTTGGGAGGGAGGGAAAATAAATTTGTGTTGACTGAAAATTTTTTTTTTCAAATGCTTTGTAAAAATCCTCAACATGCTATAGGAAAAAACAAAAAAGCTCCTACCCTTCCCCTGCCCCCCAACCTCCCAACAGAATAAAGAGAGTTGAGACTTTCTGGAAATCAACCTTCACTGCCTCAAGGGACAAGACAAATTCTCCATCTCAAAAGGACAGCTCAAAGTTTTCATAACACCTTCTTCCAGATCCATATGCATACCTCCCTTGAATTTAGAATATAAATTCATTTGCAAAATTTTATGGAGCTGAGTTATGGAAGAGTATGAGTAGTAATGGGGCAGCTGGGCGGGGGAGTGGATTTAGTGCCAGGCCTGGAATCAAGAAGATTCATCTTCTTAAGTTCAAATCTGGCCTCAGACACTTAATAGCTGTGTGACTCTCAGCAAGCCACTCAACCCTGTTTGCCTCACTTTCCTCATCCATAAAATGAGCTGGAGTAGGAAATGGCAAACTAGTGTAGTATCTTTGCCAAGAAAACCCCACATGGGGTCGCAAAAAGTCAGATAGGACTGAAAATGACTGGACAACATGAGCAGTATCATAATAAAGAGAGAAGATGGAGGGGAAAATGAGCCTATATATAGAAAGCTTGGCATGAGACTACTCTAAGCCTGATTATCCCAAGAGTGTTTATATATTAACCTGGGAGGAGAATAACTAATAGACCAAAAAATGTGAAAGACCTTGCATTTCCATGTGCACCTATTCTCATCATCTGTGACAGAGGAAACATTATATTTGGACTCTAGTTTTCCAAGCCCTCATGAAAAAAATAGAAACAGAAGTTAAGAAAACGAAGTCAAGAAGAGCAACTGAACCAGACCAGCACACCCACAGGGAACAATGCTGGAGCCAGAGCAATTTTGAAAGCATGGAGACATTAGTTTTTAAGATATCTGAAAAAGGGAAGATACTTGGCAATTAAAAAAAAATATGGATAGTATTCTTATTAAGGAGACAATTGAGAATGTAGCAGTGCCTACTGATCTATGTGACAGTTTCTTATCCAAACTCTATATGAAAATGATCTATACACATGTCAGGGGCATCCTTGATGAAAGCCTGAGAATGGAACAGACAGGCTTTCAAAACTGACTTTCTATAGCAGACCACAGTCACAGTTGGGACTGAAAAGTACAAGGAATATGAGATTCCACTGTGTTTATCGTTTATTAGCTATTTTTAAAGTATTCAATTTAATAAAGCAAGATATAGCTGGAAGGTCTCTCCTTCAATAAGATGTTTCTCATATATTTGTTAAGATCATATATAATTTGTTAATAGATATAGTCAGAGATAAATTTGTTTAGCAATCTTCGGATTATTACTGATTATTAAGTGAAGCCTCTGGCATCCTGTTCAGAGTCTAAGTAAATGAAATCTCAATAAGCTGCCTAGCCTATTCTTGCCTTCTGAGAATCATGTTTCTAAATGTACAAACTAGAATACATAGAATTACAAAAGAAACCAATTCTGGTTGAAATAAAGACATAAATTTTTCCTATCCAAGTTCATGGATCCCAAGTTTATGAAATCCAGAGTCCAAGGACCACAGGTAAAAGATCCTTGCTACAGACAGGGAAGTGCCCTCATTGCTCCTGTTTGGGGATTCTATTGTGATTTCATCAAGCCCTAGAATACTAGTAGGATCAGCCAAACAACCGATCCTGAAAAAGCCAAACAAAAGAAAAACGACTAGATTATGTCTGGTCACATGTCAGTGAGATGGGCAGTCCACTGAGTGGATGCATAAATGCATCTATATTAGACAAATCCTACAGACGAACAACGAGTTGGGCCCAGACTTGAACATGAGGAAGAAATAGGTTTTATTGTTGTTGATTGGTAGTGCCTGACTCTTTGTGATCTCGTTTCGATTGTGACCCCATCTTTCTCGACAAAGATACCGGGAGTTATTTGTCCTTTCCTTCTCCAGCCCATTTTACAGATGAAGAAACTGAGGAAAACAGGGGCTAAGTGACTTGCTCAGGGCCACACAGCTAGTATGTGTCTGAGGCTGGACTTGAACTCAGGTCTTCCTGACTCCAAGTCCTACATTCAATCCACTGAGCCTCCCCGCTACCCACGAAACAGGGCTGGAGCACATCTGGGAAATCAAAAAATGCTTAGGGTGATCCTAACCCGCTCCCATTCACAGGAACCCAAATTCTTAATGCTAACAATCTTTGGGGGATGCTATATCACTGAAGAATCATGGGATACCCCAATCTCTGAAGAATTAAAATTGTGGATGACTCAAAGGGTAATGGAGTTGTGTGGGCTGGGAATGGATTGGCTGCAGCAGAGTAATAATAAGGACCAGCATACAAGAAGTGGAAGAGGAAGCCTAGCTTAATGCATAGAGCTCAGGACTTGGGGTTGAAGATCTAGGTTCAGATTCTATTCAGACACTTACAGGACAATAGGGTTATAGATTTAGATCCAGAAGGGACCTTAAAAGCCAGCTAGCCCAATTTTCTCATTTTACAGATGAGGAAATCAAAGCCTGGAGAGGTAAAGAGACTCACTTAAGGTCACACGAGCAGCAAGTGCCAAAGGTGGATTTTGAACCCAGGCCCTCTAATTGAATCCTTTTCTACTGGGCCACCCTGGGCAAGTTCTTTAACCTTGAAGACTCTCAGTTTCCTCCTATGTAATGATAGTGTCCTAGAAGCAATGAACATGAGCTTGGACAGATTTTGGGAGATGGTGAGGATGGAAGGGCCTGATATGCTGTGGTGTATGTGGTCACAAAGAGTCAGACACCGCTGAACAACAACAATAACAAAGTGGGTGCAGTGATCGCTTCTACCTCCTGGGGTTGTTGGGAGGATCACGTGAGATAATGCATTTAAAACATTTTGTGAGTTTAAATGTGTAACTTAAAAGCCAACTGATAATTCTGTGATGCTTAAAAAGTTCAAGAGACATAGTTTCTGGGTAATTAATAATTTTATTAATAATGTTAGCATTTTATTAATAAAAGAAGTCAGTGGCACTCTCGAATGCCAAAGGCCCTCATGGTGGTGGGCTCACAACTTACATGCCCTTGGAAAAGTGGGTATTTCTGAGGGTGGCAATCAACTGTGCTTGGTAAACAATTAATGAATCATGTATCATGGGTCAATGTATCAATAAATGATGAATGAATGATATGAGAGGTGGGTTATACTCCAGTGAGGATCTTGAGGTAGATGACATTGAATACCTAAATCTTGGTCAAAAAGATATCAATGTCTGTATTACCTATCTGACAAAAGGGAGAATTCACATTTTCCCAGACCTGTCTAAGTAAACACAAAGAGCAGGAATCCACTCATTTGCTTAAACTTGGAATTTATTTATGGTCTTTGATTAGATCTTAGACATCCTAGCTGATAAGTCTTTGAGAAAGATTCCCCACACTGGTTGATTATCTGGATGAGGAAGCAGAAAAGAAGAAAAAACTTGGTCCTAATTCAATAATTAGTTATTGATATAGGAAAGGAATAATCATTTCTCTCAATTGGCATAGCAAATGCTCATTCTGGAAACTATAAGTCAGCAGAGAAGGTTGTGCTGTGAGGGCAGAGGA